TTTTTTTGTGAAAACAAAAAAAAACTTCAAGCTAAGAAAAAACTCTAATATAAATATAAATGAGGAGAGATAAATCACAAATATTTAATTGTTATAAAGACATCGTTAACCTTCAAATCATAATAAATGTCAAAGCTTAGCTGGCTTTAAATTAGAAGCCGAGAAACAGTTTTAATAGATTGTATAAATTGAAGGGGCATCATCCTCCACTGCAATCAATCTTCCTTGATTGCATGCACTTATCTACTTTTTTTTTTTTTGGATTAAAGTTAATTTCTATTATAGCAAAGCTAATCTTGGTACACCAAGCCATCAATTATTGATTGAGTTGGTTTGATCAAACTATCCAATTTTGCTAATATAATTGTTGGCTTGCTCTTGAGGAAAGCTGTTAATATCGTAGAGCTTGATGAAAATTTTTTTTTTTTGATACAAAAAAATCACAGTTTAAAATAAAAGAAAGAATTACAAATATTAAAATTTAAAATTTAAATCTATTATATGTTTTTTTTTAAATTGACTGTATAAATCAAGTGAATTAAATTCTATATTTTTCATATAATTTTCTTTGCTCCTATCTTCTTAGAAGATTAATTTTAGAGTTTAATAATGACTTTAGTTCCCAAAATTTTTGTGATATATCCAACCCAACTAGGAAAGATACTATGATTTTGTTATTAACTTTTCTATATATTATTGGTAATAAATATATATTTTACAAGAAAAAAATATATTATCGTTGCATCGCCAAATAGAGCACAGATTTCATTTTCTTTAAACCAAACAAAGTCTAAAATTAAGCAATACATACAAATTAATTCATGCATGTTTTACTTCATGTAATTTTGGATCAAACCAAGAATAAGAATGCAATCTATTTTTATTGGAGACGCAATAACCACTAAATTAGTACTTTAAATTGTGGTAAAGTTTTAATTTAGTCTCTCTTTTATTTTAAATTTTTAATTATGTTGTTTTAATCCTTCTATTTTAATTTTAATTTTAATGAATTTATTCTTTATATGTTTATTAAAACGAAATTTAAGGATAATTGATAACATTATTAAGATTTTGCTTATAATTTGGTTGACATGAAATTTTAATGATTATCTGGCATGTTAGAGTGTATTAATATTTTGGCTAACTAGACATGTCTCTCTAAAAAATCTCATTTTATTTTTAATTCTAAAAAATGTAATTTTACTATACTTTTATTAAAAAAAAATATTTTTTACTATTGTTTGCCATGTGATTAAAAAGTTTATATCAACTTATTAAGTCATAAAAAAAAAAAAAAACATACAATCAAATTTAGTTGTAAATAACACAGTTAAATTATCTTTAAATTTACGAATTTAATTCATTAAAATTGGAGTATAAAAACTAAACCAACAAAATTAAAATAGTAAAAAGGATAAAATTCAGATTTTAATCTAAATTTATTAATTTGAATGTATTTGATAAAACTATCACTTTCATTAACTAGCTAATAATTATATACGTCTCAAAGCATTTTGTGACCTCAAAATGTGTCCTCCAACTAAACCATTGCCAACGTCGTGTTGGTCCTATACATGCCATGCGACCATCAAAATGTTGCCTTCACTATGCACCAAAGAAAAAAAACAAGAATTGTTGCTTTCATTCCTTTAAAAAATATTTGGTTTTGGGACATTTGTTATAATTACAATTAAAAATAATACATGCACCTAATGATTACAAATTTTCAGAATTAATTGTCGATTAATACGTATGATATAAATTTATTTAATATTTTTTTTATTATTCACAAATACAAACAAAATGTCAAATACTTAAAAGCTTTCGTTTTTTAATGATAAAAATATCAAAGACAAATTTGGGGCAAAAAAAACGGTTGCCCTGAATATGTAAATGTCAATGACTGAATCGAATACCACGTGGGGATTGACGTGATATACAAAATGGACTTGTTCAGTGTTTTCGTAAGGAAAAACACTTTAGAATCGGCCCGACTGCGTCGGCTCAAGTCCTTTGATGGTCCAACATAAGTCCCTTCTTCATTAAACCAAAAAAAAATATATATATATATATATATCGTACATACTAATTTAAAAATGATAAATTTCAATTATTAAAAAATTTACAATTTTTTTTTTTTTTAGTTTGAAGTGGTCAAAACTTAAATTTTGATAAAAAATAAAATTTTAATACTCTATCAACATACCATACATATGTTAATATTAATTTAATTAATTAATAATAATTATAGTAAACATTATTGTAAGGTGTTATTCAAATAATTTCATTTGAATTGATTTAAAAAATCAAAACTATATGAACTTATTCCATTGTCACCTTTTAAGGTTAATTTATTTTTTATTTGTTAATTTTAAGTTGGCAAATAAATAGATGTGTTTTCAAGCTCCAAGCCCCCTTTTCTCTCTATCAAGACTAACACCCTTAGATGCTTCAAATTTTTAATTAGGAATGCATCTCCTGAATATTCAATCAAAATAAAGATGTGTTAAATGGACCGTAAAAAAAAAAAAAGAAATAACTTTTGTGTGTAAAGTTAGTCATTTGAACTCAAATAAGAATATGATCTAATTTAATTTAATAAAAAAGTCATAAACTTAAATCATTCTATTTGAATTTAAATTAACTTAAATCCAAAATAATTTAGATTTGAATAATAAAATATTCAACATGAAATTTTTTAAAATTAAAAATTTAAATAATTCAAATGTTAAATCCAAAAAATCTAATTGCCACTTATAATAATATGGTAAATGACATACACTTAGTAAAAAAAAAATTATTTTTCTTATTTAGATTGTTTAAATTACCGTATCTTTAGATTTTATGACCTTTTCCTTTTGTTTATATATATTTTTATATATATATTTTTTGGCCAAGAAATTTAAAGATCTTGGAAAGGCCAAAACAACTTTGTTAGTGTCGAAGGTGTCATAATCTACGCAAATTGCACTCTTCGTACGCGGTTGTCAGTTGGGCCTAAGGATGAAGCCTCAGTTCCGTGCATCTCTGTTGTTTACAAGGCAATCGTCCCAAACAAGAAAAGAACCCACCGGATATTATTATAATCATTTCTTCTAATGCAATCCATTTGTTGTGACTATTTATTTTTTTATAAAAAAATTTAGGTAAAGGGATGTTATTCTATTTCAGATTTAGGGTATATTGTAAATTTTAATAATAATTTATATTAGATTTACAAATTATTTATCAAAAGAAATCATTAAGAGTGATATTTGAATATTTTAAAAATTTTTTTATAAAATATTGTAATATATATTTAAAAAAAATACTTAATTTGGTTAGTAAGATCATTATATTTTGAAATTTGAGAAATAATTTATAAGTAAATTTTGAATGCTTTAATCACATTGTCTTGTATAAAAATAAAATATAGGTGATTTATATAAAAAATCCAACAACTTATTTCAAATGAAATTTTTTATTATTTAAGTAAAATTGATGGTGAATTAAAATATTAATTGTAAGTAGAATTTAACGTTTTATTTTAATTGATACGTATATTTACCCTTAAAAATAATATCTAATATGTTTGAATTCGAATTTTAATACCTTCATTATTTTCTTTATTCTTAAACTAATCTCTTATATATATATATATAAAATTAGTTTCAAGTAAGATTATTTGAAGCCAATTATAATTGAAACTTGGAGCAAAAATCTTTGGTAATGGTTTTTGTAGCGGAAAACCATCAAATATATTGTATAGTTTGACTATCCAAGGATGCCCTACTTATTTAATTGATGGTGTTTTGGAAAAGGTGATTACAAGCTGTGCTAGATAAATGTGATAATGGTTTAGTTTAGATTGAATTCAGTTTAATTTTTTTATATATTAAATAATATTATAAAAATTTAAAATTTAATTTAAATTTGAATCGAACATTTATTTAAATTGAATTGAATCGAATTTAATTTTATTAGTTTGATTCAATTCAATTTACAAGTTTTTAATTTTAAGTTTTTTAATTTTTATATATTATTTTAAAATAAAATTTTAATATATTTAAGTAGATTTTGATATAAAATTACTATTTTTATTTTATAAAAATTTAAAATATATATAAAAATTAAGAAAAATATATAATTTGGTTCGATTTGATTTTTTTTTTTTTTTTACTTTTCAATCCGAAATATGATCTGAACTTAATATATTTGTTTAATATCTAAATTTAATTCGAATCGAATAAAAAATCGATTTAAACTGAATCAAATATTATGATTTTGAATTAATTTTTAAAATTTTTAATTTTTTTCTCGTCCCTAATGCTAGAAATTAGTTTACTAGTTGATTTGAAGACGAAGAAGTGACCAACAAGAGAACGAAAGAATTAGGAGATATAAGAGGTAGAATATCAAAATTTATTTCAACGCTCAAATCAACAAAGATAAAAGAAAAAAGTGAAAAATAGATTAAAGTAAATAGAGTAAGTAAAAGTATGCAGAAAATTTAGAATTAAATATGTGTTCTGAACTTATTTTTTATTTTTTTATAAAATGCATTGATGTTGGCGTAATGAGTTGATACTTGGCTTGGGATGACATGATCAATTGACCTATCTAAATGTTAGTAAAGCATTGGACCTATTGAGCTGTGCGCCATCTGGTGATCGATGAATGTTGACTTGGTTAACTTGACGATTATAAGATGTTAACTGCATAACTATGATATAATAATTCCTCATTTTTTTATTGAATTGTCATTTTTTTTTGTTTTTTTTATTTATGACGGCGGTTGGTTACGATGATGATGATAATTGTACTATATTAGCCAGAAGGATGGTTACATTAAAGAGAAATAAAGAAAGAAAATCAAATGGAAAAGAGAAAAGAGTACACAGCTTTTTTTCCAACTATAGGAAAAGTTGATACAAGCTTTCTAATCTTTTTTGTTTCAAAAGTGTAGTATAAAACTACTGAAAAAAAAAAAAAAAGAAGAGAAAAAACAGCATGAGCGTTGGCCTAAAAGATGTGACTCAATTAAGCATTATGAGGCAGCTATTCTTTCAAAGTGTATGAGCCTGTTATCTGCTAGGCTTGAATCATAAGCAGATTTTTTGTACTCAAACCATGTAAATTCTTTGTACAAGCTTTGCTCCCCTCTCACCAGAGATGGCAATGGAGCTATTTTCTCACTCAAAGGTGGTCCACCAAAATAAATCATTGAAAGCCTACATTTCACACTGTTGGCCAAAACCCTATGCTTCACACTTTTAAACTTTCCATTGGTCATAACCTGAAAATCATCAACCCGCCACACACAAAAAAAAAAAAAAAGAAAAAAAAAACCAAAAACTCCATTAGAGAATGCTCAAGAAGAAGTGAACTGAAATTTGTAAAAGATCAATTCTAACTAAAATGTTGTTTTCCTTTATTATTAACATTTTTTTTGGACTAGGGATAAAGTAATGGAAGTTTGAAAGCTTATACAGCTAAGCTGTTTGTACTCAAGAAAACCTATTAGTGGGGACTCTATGTGAGCTATGACAGATATTAACTGATCAACAATTCAAAAAAAATTCAAAATATATCGATTTTTTCTTGCTACAGTTTCTATTAAAAAATCAACAAAAACTAAACCAAATGTCATTTTAATGCTAGTGTACTTGTTGACGATAAAAAAGAATCATATTTTGTTCATAGGAACAGGGAAATTGACTAATGAAAATTTTGGATTATTTTTACTTGTTTTTCTTGTGTTTAGATGAATGAAATAGGGACTTCTCTACTATGTTTAACGAGGAAAACATGTATCTTTTTTTTTTTTTGGTACCTGTAAGGAGTCACCAACATTGATGAAAAATGAGGTTTGGTCAGGTGGCACTGAAATCCAACTCCCATCTCTAAGAGAGATTTGAAGGCCAGAAGTGTTGTTTGATCTCAGCACTGAAATGACTTGTGGGTCAGTGTGTTCTCCAAATCCGATCACATTGCTACCATTCAAAGGTTGAACATCAGGGCATGGAGGGTAATAGTTAAGCCTGAAAACAGAGTCACTCTGTTCATCCATCAGCAGCTTACTCAACACATTCCTTGGTTGAATCTTTAGCCCATCGGCTATCATTTCAAGTATCTCACATGCCATTTTCTTCATTGCTGACATATAATTATTCAAAGCAAACCTGAAATAACAGTACAAAAAGTTGTAAAAACAGAAACAACCCAACAAAAGAAATGCTACAAGTGACTAGAAAATGAGCAGAAAATTTCCCAAATTTGATAACATACCTGAAGGTTTCCAAGTTTTCACCTGAAAGGAATCTTAGGAGATTGGGATCTTGATTGTTTGTCAGGAGAAGATATTCAACCCAACCAAAATCACCGTTTGGTCCAATCCTTTTATTACCATAGCCATAAGGCTCAGGTTGTCCTGTTTTCTTCTTCTCACAAAGTGGTAAAGAGAAGAACTTGGTGGCTTCCGATTCCAACCTGGAAATGAATTCCATTGGAACATCATGGTTAATCACCTTGAAGAATCCGAATTCTTCACAGGCTTTGATTATCTGGTGTTTGGATTCAGGTTTTGAGAGGTCTACAAGAGGGATTTGAGGGAACAATGTTGTTGGCTTGATGTTTCTGATATGAGAAAACTGTTCAATTGCTGGTTTTGACAGCACCACCATTGTTTTTCCTACGGTTTCTTCAGTGGTTGATCTTATTGTTGTTGGGTTGTTTATGCAAATAAGAGAAACAAATGGAAAAGACTGAATTTTTTGGTGATTTTTTTTTTAAAATAAAAAGTGAATTGATAGAATGGATGAGTTTGAGTTTGATTCTGATTTGTATAGAGGGTACATGAACAAATGGCTTGGATTTTGCCTGGCTATTTATAGTAATAGAAAAGAGAGAGAAAGGTTTCAAAAAGGAAAAAGAAACAAATAATTTATCAGTTAAAAAAAAGAAGAAACTATTTCTTTATTTTTTATAAAAAATAATATTTAAACTTAATTTAAAATTATTGTTTGAAGTATTTTTTTTTGTCGTTAAAAACTATTTTTATTCAATCTCAATGTTAAACGAAAAAATTATAATTTTTTAATCCTTTTAAAGTGTAAAAAATTATTTTTAATTTGTAAGATTTAATTTATATGTTTTGTTATATTTTTAAAAATTATATTAATAATTTAAATTATATAAATTTTAAAAAATAATTTTAATCAATAAATAAAATTATCTTATCTTAACCTTATATATATAAAAAACAAAAAAAAAATATTTAATTTAATTTTATTCATAATATCATTTTATCCTATTCTTTCATAATCTTATATATTAAAAATATTTATTATTTTATTATTTTATACATATCTTTTTAAATATTTTAACCACTCAAAAAACATGTTTTTTTCATCCGAATTTTTTTATCCCAATAAAAGAAGAAGATACATTATTTTTTAACTGTTAATTTTACTCCAAACAGGCTTAGGTCGGCAATAAGGACCTTTCTGGAAAAGCCGAACAGTCAACACCAATGCCTTAACCTTAACCTTTCTTATTATTACAAACTCAGATTCCATCGTGGTACAACAATTAACGCATCTAGAATAAATTGTCATATCAAACAGACCGGTTGGAAACTTGTCCATTCAATATTATCATATACAATCTTTCAAGAACTTTTGAGTCAGATTAATTTTGCATCACTTGGCGTGATGTTAAAAATAATGTTTAAAAAATATAGATTCGAAAAAATATATGTACAGTATTAGAATAAGAGATTTAAGAATAAATTAAAAATTAAAAATTAAAAAAGGAGTTAGATTTTTTAAGTTTTTTAAAATGAAATTAATAATTTTGAGTATGAATAATAATATGATATTAATATGAAAAATATATAAAAGTAATAAAATTTAAAATTTTAACAAAAATCAACATATATAAATTTGACAAAAATATATATTTTATATTTCTATATCATACAAAATATAATATAACAATTTTTTACATATATTTAATGTAAAATAAATATCATATGAATACATAAATTATAAATCTATTAAAAAAAAAAGGAGAAGCTCTTTCATTTTGAATTGTCTTATCAAAGAAAAATCATAAATCTTAACTTCATATAATTATTCTCTTTTTTATATCTTATGGATATGTTTGGTATATAAAATTATGATAAAATGATATCATAAATAGAATTAAATTAAATAATATTATTTTATTTTATATTTGATGTGTGTAACTATTAGAATATGATAATATATTTATTAGTCAAAATTATTTTTTTTTAAAATTTATATAATATTAATGTAATTTTTAAGGATATAATAAGATATATAAATTTAATTTCATAAATTAAAAATAATCTTTTTTACTTTAAAAAAAATTGAATCATCTTATATTAAGAAGATGATTAATCATCCTTATAATTTTTTTTTTAAATACAAATCAAATATAATATAAAATAATTAATATCTTATTTTATTTTATTTTTCATCTTATACTCCAACCATAACCTAATACTCTTAAATGCTTTATTAGAAAGAATCAAATTCGATTTCCATGCTCTAAGGGCATACAGGAAAGTAGTCATAGAATGGTATTTGGTGATCTATCAATTGAAACACATGTTACATTACTGTTTCCTTACCATTTTTACTGTATTAAAACTTTAACAAAAGTTTATTTTTTATGCATGAAATCGCATTAAACTCAAGTTTAAAAAAAAAAGATATTTGTATATATATATAGATATATTTTTCAAATTCGACTCCTGAAAATTTTAAATTTTAATCCTTGAAATATCTTATAAAAATATTATTAAGTCATATGATTATTGACTTAAATTCTTATTAAAAATAGGTTAGTTCTCCATTTTTTTTATTTTAAAAGTTGAGAGTACATTAAATATCATATTAGATTCTCCATTGGACCTACCTTTGTATATAATTGAGAAAGTGGGGTTAGAGATATAGATTAAGATTTTATGGTCTATGTGGCAAAAGCTTAAAAAAGAAAATGCTAGGACTGCTTATGAAGGAAAATGGGCAATACCCAATAGAGTTGGGAAAGATTTAAATAAAGTTTTTTAGATAAGTTCATGAAAGTACTTTCTTAGTAAAATGTTTATCGAAAATCCAAATTTATCTATAAATTGAAAATTCTTGTTACATATATTAGAGGTTCAAATTTTGAATAAATTTTTTTATTTTAATATATTTTTTAGATAAGTGTTTTTATTAAAATTTTTACAGAATTTGGCATAAATAAAAGAAGCCCCTAAACTAAAACTAAATAATCATTCATGCCCTTATTGTTTTATTAAAATCAATTAAGTTTTCAAATATTTATTTTCACCAATTGAGTTTATTAGGCGAAAATTAATTAATCACCAACATCTATAATTAGGTGAAAATGAATGTTTAAGAGTTAAACTGGATGAAAATAAATGTTTAAGGGTTTATTTTAATGAAAATAAATGTTTGAAAACTCAATTAATTATAATAAAACAATAGAGACTTAGACTAATTATTTAATTTTTATGTAAGAGCTTTTTTGTACTAGCTCAATTTTCATTATTAAATAAATATTGATCAAATCAATTTAAATTATAGACATTTTTAATAATTCTTTTTACATATTATTAATCTTCTCATTACCCTTCATTAATCTATTGATTTATATTTTTATTGAATTATTTTTAATAAAGAATTTTACTAAATCTTACCCTATAAACTTTGACAAATAAGAAGAATTTCATTCTTTCTCAAGGAACAGTATATTCAAATTTAACTCATGGTTTATTATTAGTTTGATAGGCTTTAATCTTTTCAACGTTGGAATCGAGACATTTTTTTTCAATTTATATCATGCATATATTATTGCTGCTGGAAACTAAAATTAACAGAAAAAATGTTAGTAACAAAAAATAAAGAATGAAAGGAAAATAGATTAATTTCACTAATAGCTTGAAGAATTGGATTGAGACATAGATATCTTGCTTTCTTTAAGATGATTCATGCTTTTGCGGGATTGTATAAGCTGGTGCAGTAGATTCTAAAAGCATGTTGCCTCCAAGATACAACAGTCAGCGATACATTCATAATACACTTTATAATTCTGCACTAAAAGTAGAGTAATAAGGCTCAAAAAAATAAATGCCTTCTCTACCCAAGAAATAGAAAACATGTGTTGTTTATAGAAATAGTGAATAGAATGGATTATTTGTTATTTGATTTTTAGAACCTATTTATAAATTTTAAAATTTGTAAATGATTAAAAAAATCATAATTGATTTTATGACAAATATTTCCTAACGGCTAGTACACACTAAAGAAATTTTATTATATTAGGAGTTACTTATTAATAAATATATATTATAGTCAAAACGTTTTTGTTATTAAAATATATACAACAATTCCCTCATTCACTTTAATAATAAAGCATTATAACAAATGTTATTTGTCGTAACGGTTTTGAGATCGTCAGAGGTGAATGAGTTTTTAAAATCGAAAAAAATAAAAAAAATCGTCACCAATCTTTGTTAAGATGTGATTGATCACCCAAAAATTTATCTTTTTAATAAAACTATAAAAACAGATTTAAAATTTATCAAAAAGATAAATTTCAATCTACAAAAAATCAGGTTGGGTCCCAGAATCGGTTACGTGTGCGAAAAGATTAATACCCCACAACGCCCATAAATTGGTACCATTTAATTACGCGCTATTTTCGATGTTGGATAAAAATAGTTTTAATTTGAAATTTAACACTAATTCCCTTCATTTGAAAAAATAAAATTTTACTAAAAATTTTTATTTAGAAATATTGAGAAAATCTTTAAGTTAAAGAATTATCTTAAAATTCTCCAATATATAGGCAGAATTTAAAATAACTCTTTTCGCTTAAAATTTAACACAATAATCTTTAAAATGAAATAACAATCTTTGTAGAAAATAATTATTAGTGACTCTCCAAAATTTAAACAGAGTACCAAAAATTATTTCTTTCGGAATGTTATTTTTATTTTATTTTATAATATCAAAAAATATTTTTTTTAAAAGTATTATTCTTTTTTATTATAAAATATTTTATCATCGAATAGTAAATTAAATAGAATAATGTAGACAATTATTGATGATAACATGCTAAAGTATGTATGCTAATGAATGTCATGTAACATGAAATGCAATTTAAGAGTTGGATTCTTAAGTATAATGAGACCACCTCGACTCTTTAATATCTAGGCAAAACTTAAGTGCGACTGTTTATATTTAAGATTTTAATTTTTTATTATACTTTTTATTTATTGATCTTATTATTAAAGCGAATTAAGAAATCGTGTGAAAAGACTTAACGAAGTAAAATTTTCTAAATACCCCATCATCTAGGCGGCATTCGTAAACAAATTGCTTCAAATAAAATTTTCACACGTGTCATTAGGATTGTTAGGAAGTTTTGAGTAAGGGCTCGAGTAGAGGTTTTGAAGGTTTGGTTTTAAGGTTTAGAGAGTTTTAAAGTTTGAATTTTTAAGGGTTTCGGATTTTAGAATTTTGGATTTTAAGCAGTTTGAATTTAAGGGATTTTGAATTTTTAGGGGTTTCAATTTTAAGATTTTGGATTTTAAGGGGTTTCGAATTTTAGGATTTTGGATTTTTAGGGGTTTCGGATTTTAGGATTTTGGATTTTTAGATTTTGGATTTTAGGAGATTTTGAATTTTAGGGGTTTGGATTTAAGGGTTTCGGATTTAAGGCATTTTAGATTTTAAGGGGTTTTAAAAACTTAAGATTTTGAAAATTAAAAATTAGTGTTTAAGGTTTAACTAAAACGCGAACATTTCTAAAAATCTCCATCATCTAGGTAGACTTTCGGAGCATGTTCAATTTTTTATAATTTTTGAAAACTAATTAAAAATTTCTTATGTGTTTTTTTTTTTTTTATGAAAATTTATTCATAATAATTCCCCAACATCTAGAGGAAATTATTTTTTTAAAAAAATATTTTTTATTCCCTCCAACATCTAGGCAGAGAAAATAATAATAATAATAAATATTTTTTTTTGAACATTTTTAATATATTTTAATTATTATTCGTTTTCAATTTTATTATTATTAAAACAATTAAACATTTATTCTAACAAATTTAAAAATTTATCATGCATAAATATAAAAATATACTTAAAATAAAAAATACAATAATATAAAAAAATTAGAAAATTAAAAAAAAAAATTTTTTTTTTAACCTGAACCGGATAGGTCAACGGTCCAATCAACGCTAGTCTGGACCGTTCTGACCGGTTTTGTAGTTCAGTCAGCAGTTCAGGCGATCCAGTGGTTCGGACCGATTCAAACCGGTTCATTGACGGTTCTTCTGGACTGGTTCAAGGTTGGCTGAAAAAGTTCACACCATCTCTTTCTTGTGAGAGGTCTTTTGTAGAACAAAATCGTGAGGCCAAGAGGGTCAGAGCGGACAATACCTCACAAGAGTGTGAACCGTGACAGTCAAGCTGATTTGGGATGTTGAAAGGTTGAATACCAGGGTCCTAAAGCCGCGTGGGTCGTAGCTTAAATCTCGACCCGTGACAAGTGGTATCAGAGTCAGCCCTAAACCGTTTGATCCATGCCAAGCGCTCCAAGGGGAGTAAGCAGAGTGGCCAGCTTCCATGACGAAAGCGTCATGAGGTTAGGTGGGGGAAAATGTCACGGACCTAAGGAGGAGTCCTGAATCCCACATCGAACATAAAAGATGGGTCACTAAGGTATAAAAGAATTCATACCATATCTTCTTTGTGAAGCGCCTTTTATAAGACAAAACCATGAGGCCAGAAGGACCAGAACGGACAATACCTCACAAGGGTGTAAACCGTGACAATCAGGTTAATCTAAGATGTCAGAAGGGTGAATGCTCGGATCCTGGAGTCGCGCGGGTCAGAGCTTAAATCTCGACCTGTGACACAAGATCATGCATTAATTAAAATCAACCAGTTATAATTTCTTTTGAGTATCCACCGGACCTTAGGCTACACAAAGGTAGGTGAACCTCCCCCATCCCAGCCCATCTCCTTCTCCTAAGATTCAAAAGCTGAGAATTCCAAAGTGGAATCTGAATTTCTAAGTGATAAAGGGTACTCTTACGGACAGGAGGTCCCAAGTTTAGACACAGCTATTAATATTATTATTACATGGAACAATGATGTCGAGAAAAGTTAGGAACAGTGTCGCTTCTTAGTTCTTATATGGTTTTTGGTTTTTAAAGTTAATTCGTTGGATGCCATTGGTCTTTCCAACAAATTCGTTATCTTACCCTTTAAAAAAAATTGTTTTGGCATTACACAACATCTAAAAGCTGAAGAATGATATCACGGCACAATTTAAGTTTTGGCTTTTAAAAGGAGATGCCAAATGTGATCTCACCTCAATTAAGACAGGTCCAGGCTAACTTCCGTCTTTTCTCTAACCTACATCAAATGCTCTAAAAACAAAAAGTCCATCAGTTCCATCCACCCAGATGCTTTGGATTCCATGAGCTTGGCCCTTAACACCAATATCATCACCTGCCAAAAGTAACTAATATTATCCAGCATAAACCTCAAATGAGTTCAGAAGATAGAAAAATAGGCCTGTCTCACCCTTTTATGAAATTATACTTCAAAAGTCTTCTGATATATGTGTTTTTACATCACATCCATTTTTGCAACAAACAAAAATGAGGGGCTTCCATAACTGCAGCCAAGTTCAAACCAGCAAAATCATCCTGAAAAGGTACTTAATATGAGAAACTGAGAAACAAGGTTTATCTCCTGGAGAACTGAAAACAATTAAGAGATGAATTTCTTTTTTATTTTTATCTCTCTACAAACCTCACTGCTACCGCCATCTCCTGCTAATGTGAGAACAAAGTACTATCAAGCACATGCACAGAACAAAAACACTCAGGGTCAAGATTTGCCCATGTATTCAGAATTTAGTTATCTTATTTAATACAAGATGAAATAGAGAAGAAGTTGTCTTGCTTGACCTTTAATGAACTGGCATCTGCGTACCTTTACCACCACAGGCCTTATTTTCTGAGCATTAATTGCCAAATTTTTTAGCTACAGAAACCACATAGAACTCCAGGTTACTGGTACTGGAGTGCCAACACATTATACACAGTATTAGACAATATCATGATATCCCATGAGCCTATTCTTTACAAATTGGAGAGTATAACCATGAATACCTTTATATGCATATTTTAACTGGGCCAAGACAGTATCATCTTTGCTCAGAGCAGCAGCAGATGCTATACTAATCACTTCTTTGCACTGCAACTTGCTGAGCAAACTAGTAATTAGTGTTTTCATAAAAATAATAGAATCCATTTTCTTCTTGTCATTTGCACTAGATAATGAACAACACCTGTCAAACTAAAGTTTAGCATCAAGCATTTCAAGAAGTGTAGAAAAGTCATTACTTTTTGCAAACCTATGAACTCAACAATTATATGATATGATTATTCACTATATAATAGCTATTCATTGCCCTTTATCAATAATTTAAATTAAAACCAAAACTTTCATCTACTAATCAAATTAATTTATATATACCTAGACAAACTTGGCAAGGAGTATATCAAGCCAGCCTTCATTAGCATTTGGGTTAAACAAAAACATATGCAAAACCATAAACATACATAGTGATCTTCTTTAACCTCTTTATTCTAGGTATGCTGGCTAAGGGATATATAGAGAAGAGGACTCTAGAGTTATCAACAAATCAGAGCCTGAGTTTTACAATTTTCTAGCTCTATTTCAATCTTACTCCACTCAGCACACTCTGTCTTATGATGTACATGAATACCGCCTTTTTCTTCCAAGTCCCAAGTTAATAGTTCCAATATTAAATATAGATCTTTTCCTCCCTCATGCTGTAACCGATCTGCCTCAAACATAAATATATGGTTTTTTATTCCAATCCAGCTGCATCCAATAATTTTCTTCAACCTCTGCTTCATTGCCTTCCGGACTCGAATCATACCCTCCCATCTACCCCTCATCTCATATGCGCGACTCAACACCAAATAAGGTAAAGATGACTGTGGTTTCAGTTCTATCATCTTTTCTGCTACTCTTTCAGTTAAATTTAGGTCGGCATAAGTTGCAGTAGCAAGAACTAGTGATTCCCAAACTAAAAAACTAGGTTCAAAAGGCATTGCTTCTAAAGTATCAAAGGCTTCTTTGAATTTACCAGCATGAAAGAGCAAGTCCACAACACAAGCATAATGCTCATCACAAGGCATAACTCCAAATTCTTCCTGCATTGATAAAAATATACTCATTCCTACATCTACAAAAGCACCATATCTACAAGCTAGTAGAACTCCAGCAAGTGTTATTCGATCTGGTGCCGGACCTTCTCTAAGTAGTTTCTTAAATAGTTCCAACGTCTCAACAACTCTGCCATTGTGAGCCAAACCCATGATTAAAGTGTTCCAAGATATTAGATCTTTTACATGTATTTCAGAGAAAATCAGCATTGCTGAGTAAATTGATCCAATTTTAGAATACATATCGACAAGTGAACTGGCAACAATTGATTCAGACTCAAAACCTGATTTTATCACCAAAGAATGGAGTTGGTATCCTTGCTCAACTGAAAGGATGGTTACACAGCTTAGAGCACTACTAAGTATGAACTCAGTAGGCCTGCAATCCTCCCTCATGGCAAGCTGGAAAAGTAGCAAAGCATCATCCTGTGAGCCATGCCTTGCATAGCTTGAGATCATAGAATTGCAAAGCACGAAGTCCCAATATTCCACTTCTTCAAAAAGCTGAACTGAATCCTCCAATATGTTGCATTTTGAAAAAAGGTCAATAAGTGCACTTAAAACAATGGAATTTGAGATGAATCCCACCTTGACACTCAGAGCAAAGATTTGTTTACCCCTATCCAAATTTCTCAAATTAGTACAAACAGTAATCACATTGGAAACTGTAAATTCATCTGGCAAATAACCAGCCAATCTCATCTGATCAAACTGTTTCAATGCTAAGTCTGCATAACCTGACTTACAACAAACCGAAATCAGTGAATTCCAAGACACAACATCCACCTCTTCCATACTAAAAAACACGCCATAGCATACTCTAACAAGCCAAGCTTCCCATACATATCAATCAACGAATTGCCAATCACCAAATTGGACAAACCAACACCACTCGTAATCATCTTACAGTGAATTTCCTTTGCCTGACTAGCACACGAGACAAATGTTGTCAGAATTGAAAACGTGAACTTACTCGGTCTAACACCAAAATTCTGCATTTCCTTAAACACTTCCAATCCATAACCCCAAAACCCCATCAACCCACAACCCGAAATCATCGAGTTCCAGCTAACAACATCTCTCTCAGGCATTCCATCGAACACTAAACATGCTTGCTTAAAATGACCAGACTTTAACAACCCATTCAACCAAATGTTCCAAGATATAATGTTTTTGTCATTTATATCATCAAACACTTTGGAAGCATCGTTAAAAGAGCCAACTTTGAAGTAAAGATCGACAAAAAGATTTCCCAGAAAAGTTATGCCATTGAATCCGAATTTGATCAACTGAGCATGGATTGTTTGGGCAAATTTAATGGACTTTAAGGATAAAGAGTGTTTTATGAGGTTAGTGTAGTGAGAAGTAGAGGTTTTTGAGACCAATAAATTGGTTTTAGGAAAGGGCGCATGCATGGAGCAAATGTTTCTTTGTTCCCTACACAAAGCAAGAATATTTGATGCGCCGTTTACTTTCTTTTAAGGCAGTTACAAGGTTCAGGGGTTAATGTTTCTCCTCTTCTTCTTGCAGGGTTACTTGCCCTGCTGCAACCCTAATTCATTACAGAGATATCTTTTTGCAATAAAATTTAGGTGCGTTTGTTTTTGCGGAAAATGATTTTTCAATCATGATTTTGCAATATTCTACCAAAGAAGAAAGAAACTTTTGGTGTTGCTTTAGCATACCCATTGATCATTCAACATTCCATCGAGCACAACATGATGTCCAAATCATCCAAGAATGAAAGCATGTGAAAAAAATTGAAGATGAGTGGTTTCCATACCATTATTCCCAAGCAGAAACACCTTCAAAAAGGTCGGCTATAGCTGCTTTGTGGCAAAAAGAACTAAAACCTTCAGCTATAATATTAAAAAGAAGGGGTGAAATTGAACGACCTTGTCAAAGATCCTTTTTCATGTAAAAGTACATGCCTAGTAGGGGAACCATTCACTAAAATAGATAGGGAGACATTAGAGACACAATGCATTATCCATTTCCTCAATAAATTTCCAAAACCATTTTGCTCAACATCGTACCTAGATAACCCGTCAAAAGCTTTCTCAAAGTCCATTTTAAGAATTAATCCGCCATCTTCATTAATCTTCTTCAAAATATCCACTATTTCATTGGTTACCAGTGAACGTCAAGGATTTATCACCCTTTAATGAAAGTGAATTGGTTTTGACTAATTAATAATCTTATCCATCACTCGCTTAAACCTATTAGAAATTAATAACTTTGGCCAAAATCTTTTCGATGCTTCCCACCAAACTTAGTGGCCTGTAGTTGGATCAAGATGATCGAGGGACCTCCAAATTTAGGGATTAATGCGATGAAAGAGGCGTTAATGCTGCTCTCCAATCTTGAGACACGCAAACAGGGTTGTGGTGAGAGAGATACAGGGAGCATTTTCTGGTAAAGGAAATTAAGGCATAACATTTATAAACTCTTCAGCCACATCCAGTCTGCTCATTGCTCTCCTATTACACCAACTAAACTTGCCTCCAACCATATATATAGACAACCCAACTAAATTGTTTCCAGAGATGAAATCTGTAAAGGCATCCATTCCATAGCCGAGAAATTAAAAGATGAGCAAACCTTCTCTTCAGAGAACCTAATTAATTAATTACATTACAATCTCCCCACCCCACCCCCCCCCCCCCAAAAAAAAAAAAAAAAAAAGCACCAGGGCAGTGTATATTTCATAAGAATTCTTTTTATAATTTAAAATTTCCAATACAACCTCAAAGAATTTGACTAGTTAAGTTAAATGGTTGTCCCGTATCTTTTTAGGATATATTAAAAATAAAAAATATAATATAATAAAAACATACACATGCTAGTATTAAATCTTTTGTGGAATTTAAAAACTTCAATAGATGAAATAATTATTAGGAGTTAATGCTTGTTTTTGTTAAGTGTTTACTATATTTAATACTAAAATTATTTTTTTTAACAGTAACAACTCTCTTAATGGACCATTTGAACCGAAAATTGAGAGCCCCTTTGGTTCAACTTCTCATTTGGTTTAGAACATTAGTGATAATTAATTAGCCTTGGTCTTAACATTCAAATTGCAACAACAGATTATAAATTCTACTTAAAAATAAATTCCTTCAGTTATTAGTAAAAAATCGATTCATTTACAATAATAAGCTATAGCAAATATATAAGATAATGTTCTTCAATTAAAATTTTTAATGCACATCGATTGAAATTTATTTTGCACTTCAGTTACTTTCGTGACATCTAAATCCAAATATTTTTAATCTTTCTTTCATGCTTGTTAACGAAAATAAATTTAAAAGCTAAAAGTAGCTGGGTAATATTGGTTTCATTTTTAAAAAGTTAGTCAAGTTTATTTTTATTTTCAAAGTTAAAAGAATCATAAAAATTAAAGTTAATTAGAAAATGACAAAATAAAAAGGCTAGAACAATTTTAAATTTAATTTAAAAAAAAAAGGACAAAAAGGGTAAGAGTTAAAATTATTAAGAGATAAAATTACTAAATAGAGTATTTAGAAAGTCTACTTCAACAACACTATTGTTTAAACACATAATAGAGTCGTTCACGTTTTTCTTAATACCCTCCCTTTTCCATTTCTCAATCCTAAAGTCTAAAAAAAATATTTTCAAGACAAATATTTTTAGAAATTCACCCTTTTTAGTAACTTTTCTTTCTGAAATTATACAAACTTGAAAAATGTTTCTAATTTATCACACCTTTTTGTAACTTTTCTTTATGAAATTATACAAACTAGGCCATCTCAAAAGGCATTGAATTTCCTAAAAATGTCCACATATTTGAACTAGTCCCTAAAATTTTTCTCAAGGTTAAAAAAAAAAAAAAAAAACCCAAACATGGAAGATTCACACAATGATATGAACCAGAAAATTTTGTATCTATAGCCAAAGCAAAAAGTCTTGAACCATCCATCCCTGGTAATAGATTTAGTTGTTGGCTTTAAACAGGAGTGCTGAATAACCTTGAGGTCCTGCCTTTTCATACAAAAAGTTGAACCAAATGACTCTGAGCTGTCTTCATAATTTCTCGTAATAAATGACAAAATGAAATGATAGGTTCTGGGTGGAAAGGATATGTTCAAAGGTGGAATCTCCAAACAAGCAATGCTTCACCCACAAGGGCTCCCGAAAGGTTCAGTTTGAATCAGTTGATCACAATCTCTGTTCGTTCGAACCTCCCTTAGGCACCACATTAACACTTCAAAGTTCCAATTTGCAGTTGTGATGGTAGCAGAAGTTTTTTGAGCGACAAGAAATGGCGTTAGGAAAAGCATAATACTTACAACAAGTATGCATCGTTTCAGCCTTCTATGATCCTCTCATAAAAAAGCAAGCTCGCTTCTGCAGTTAAAACATCCTTCTCCGAGACAGTACATACTTGAGAATCTGAAATGCAGAACCACTTGATTGTAGCAGGCTCAGAGTATTCATCTGAATCTTCCTCATCTGATTTGACTCTCATACTTCTGTAAACAGTATAATGCCCACCTCCGGGTCTCCCAAAGTGCTCCACAACTGAAACAAGCTGGTATAATTTAGTTTCTGAAGGAGGTAACTTGCCAGTCAAACTCACCTGCATCAAGAAATTAGATACGCATCAAAGACAGACAATTATCAGCCCTTGGTCCATTAAAATCTATGCATGTTATGTCCAAATTATGAAGGCTAAAACATATGCATCCCAAATCTAAGGTATAGCATATATTAAGTATATTGGTAAAACACACTTAGTTTTGAAATTTAATCAAGACCTTTTTTCACCCTAAGCCAAAGTTAAGAAACAGTCAACTTAGTTGCATGAATAAGTCATAATTTTCAACAAACATGTTTAGTTTAGAGTGGCTGTAAATGACAGCCAATTATTCAGCATATGCACCATTCATGAATCATGTGCTGTAAAAGGTCTTTGAGAAATGGGTTAACATTATGAATGGCTATGAACAATAGTGAAATGTTCCATGCATTACTTGAACTTTAAAAATCTTTAATATGCTACATGAACTATGAAGTTGTTAACTAATGCAGTACTCACGCCTAACATGGCTAATTCTAAATGATGAGATGCGGCACACAAACAACTTTCAAAGGACCACATTAGTAAACAAATTCCTAATTCAAGCACCATATTAGAGATTTTTAATGTTCACGTTCCACATTGAACATTTCACTATAATTCAGGAGCCATTCCTAATATTATCCTTTGAGAAATTGTTTCCTTGGCACTTAATTCATGCAACAATACTCAAAATTTGATTTATCCAAAAAAAATACTCAAATTTGATGACAATTTAAAGTTTTTCGATGATTAAAAGAGCAAAAGAAATCGATACTTCTTGCTGAAAACAAGCACAATAATATAAGTTCAATAATACCAAATGAGCACATGAGGGAATCTGCTAATTGAGCATCATCCCACAAATGCCAAACTGTGAAAGGTTTCATAAAACCAACACAAGAAGCCTCTGCAGCTCTGACACCTTAACACAATTTTCAATACATGCTTTTAAAGCAATAAAAAATATCCTTTTAGTGAACCAAAAAGATTTATTAACATGTGTTAATCAAATTTTCATAACAACCTACATATGTTCAGATCAGTAATTACTCAACCAACCTTGTCATCATATTGCTTTTCCATGTCTGTGTTTGAGGCCTTTGAACAACCATCAGTTTGGGACAGGTCAGACTTATTTCCAAAGGATTCTCCAGGGAAAGAACATCGAAAGTCACTCATGGCTAATATTTCGGAAGAGACCATTTCTCCAATTGGTTTACTTATATGATTGAAAATGGTTTTGAATTGCATATTGATAAAGTTGAGACAAGGACCTGGCTTTTGATTTTGCAGCTTTAGCCCTTTATGGACTCCTTCCCAGTTCTTTATTTCCACACCAGTAGTCATGAATGGCAACAGGTCTAAAATCAATGGAAAAGAAATATGGCCCTGCAATCATTAAGTAATGGTTCATCGCTATGACAAAACCATTCTCATATAAGTTTCAGCAAAGCATACATACAAGCCAGAAATACTTTTCTGAAGACAGAACATTGCGTTAATGATCAAAATTAACAAGCTGGGAAACTACCTGAAGCTTGATTAGTTCCCCAAACTCATTTATTGAAGCACGCTGTAGATGAATGCATAGAATCTGAATTGTAAGACAGAAAAATAAGCATCCTTAGAGATCAAACAACATAACTTCATACAGAAAAAGTCTAGAAGAACAGAGTCTTCAATATGACCCTAAACAACATATTGACCCTTTAAAAGCACTTCAGATTCTGTTACAGCAATTGAGTCTTCAGTATTCATACCTTTGGACAGCGAGTAATGGTTAGTTGCTTTAGAGTACTGGAAAAGTTATTTGACCAGGGTAGCCTTTCAAGACAAAGAAAACTTCGACAATCACAGGTGTCTTGTGCACTGCATTGTTTCAACTTTTCAATCTCCATCTGAGATCAACGTTGAAATATTATCCATGTAAGAATTTGCAGTAATTAGTTGCACTAACAGCCAAGAAACTGAAGAATCAGACTTAGGCAAGCATAAATATGCAGCAGATTAAAACTGACTAACCCACAGAGAGAGAGAGAAATTGGAGCCTGTATTGCTTGTTAAAATCTGGACCAGTAGGAGCATGGATGGTATCATGATAACACCTGATCTTATTTAGATAGGTATCATAAGAAGATCTTACATTTAAAGATTCTATAATGAAGTTTGTTTTCCATCATAGGATCATAAAACTACGATATTCGGATCATAGTTTAACAATTATGGTACCAAGGTTACATTTTTGCCATCAAGTAGATACAAAACAAACTAATGTTTAAATTAAAAAAAAAAAAGTACTACCTCATTTGCTCCTGTAGAAGATAAATACTTTATTGCAGCAATGTGCCAACAATAGCTGCAGTAATAGTTCTCAATTTTTTCAGCAAGTACAAACTGCCTTAAGCAATCCTCCAAGGTGCAACCAGCCATCTAGTGTTTCATTGAAGAAATAAAGCACTAGAGTTAAAAGAGCAGTCCACAAGTTATAAAAGAAAATTTCCATGAAGCTACAGGCTTAAACATGCATAATTCTAATAATATTAAAGAGCAAAACCTTTAGTTAACATACAATTGTAGAACCACCATAAAGAACTGGCAAAAGGGGCAAGCTGTGAAAAAATTGCAAATCCAAAGAAATCTGCAAAGTTAAATTAATTAAAATAAAAAATTAAATATGGGAAATACCAAAAACAAATGGACAGGTTAGATAAAAATTTCATCAATACTTTATCCGTTCCGGATTTCAAATGTGGCTATGTCATAAAATGCAAGAAAATACCAATAACTTATTTTAAAATGTTCAAACATAGCACAGCAATGGAACAAGAACCTGAGATGAACAACTCTGACAAGTTAAAATGCTACCAATAATGCCATCAAAAGGTCCAAGATAGTGTTGCTGCCATCTTTCTTGCTCACTCTGATCCACCTTCCTCTGGGGAGTTAGAATTCTACTGCTTTGTGAAGTAAAAACATCTGCTAGAGTACTTTGACTGGGAAGATAGATATCAGAAAATTCTTCTCTTAAAGAAGACAAAAGATGGAGAAATGCTTCTGCAGCGTCCTACACATAGCACATATGAGATAAATTACACTCTAGATGCTGTTAGACTGTGTTGTTAAAATATTGAAAACACAACCGCACCTGCTGGCTTGTTAAATCAAAATTTTGAATATAAAGTGCCAATGCACGCATAACTTTATTTGGGCTTAATGCAACTCTACTTTCTCCAGCCATACTTAATTCTGCAAAAATGAAGCATCTATCACTCATGTTGTGATGACCATGTTGACTTCAGTCTCTGTGGAGGTTTATGAGGTCGATTGTGTAGCTTCAATCGTGTATTTCTGGGCCCCAAAACTAATTGTTTAAGACACAGCTGACTTACCATTTTATATGCCTTGGTTATTAGAGAAACAAGAAAACACTTACAAGTAACAGTTGAGTGCATTAAAATATCCATGATATAGAAACTCTAGAGAAAGCAAAACAGTTCAAAAAGTTCTCATGTTACCTTCTAAGAGAGCAGACAAAGTAATTGTAAGCGGCAAGCTTTCACCCTGTCCCTCATCTGTTGGTGATTCACATTTGTCTAGTATCTTCTGAAGAAAAGACTGAAAATATGTGCAGCTAGCCAGAGCCTGAAATATAGCAGATTCAAGAACCCAAAATGAATAGCATTTCGCTGTAATTTTCCATAATTGAAAAATATGAATAACAAAATATGTCCAGACTCTAAACAAAAACAAAATACCCATTTGTTAAAATACTCGAGACTCAAGATGTAACTATTTTTCTATTTCCTATTTTCTGTTCTCTTTTTCTTAGCAACCACAAAGACTCTAAAAAAAAAAACACACTCATTTGCTAAAAGGAACCAAACCTGCAAAATTACATTCAAGAAACAGTTATTGCCAAGATTTTGCAACCCAGGAACCAAGCATAGCTTCTCCCAATGTTTCTTTCTCTTTTCCCCCGATTTACCATTCCTTATTGTAGCCAATATAAAACCAACAACTCCCACTAAACCAACCACTGATATATGAAACCCAAAAGCAGCAGCCCATCTCATATGTGACAAAGCTCTATAACCATGTTTCCAATTGCGGATTATTGCCCTTATACTTGTGTCTGGTTCCATTTCCATTGTATTAGTGATAGAAAAGCCTACAAGATAACAGTGAAAAAGGAACAGAAAATAAACTTCAAGAATAAAAGGATGAAAAACCAAAATTGAGAGTTAAATGAAACTGTAACATAAACTCCAAGAATAAGATGATGAGCTATGCCAAATTGAGGGAACGTTTTGAGCACACATGCGTAGACATATTCACAAACTCCAAGAATAAAATGATTCGCCAATACCATGAAATGAAAGTTCTAAAAAGAACACATGCATATACATATACATGTAAGTGTAACATGGAAACTTGAATATTCCCTAATAATTAATAGAATGCAAAATCTTATATAGCTCAACTTCATTGCTCAAATTCAACAATAAACAAACAAATTTGTTAAACCTAGCAAAGATCAAGCCCTTTTTTCCTCGACTTCCAAACAAGCATACACATCTAAGCCTACAGCAAAATAACAAAAATAGAATCAAAGTTTCCTTATTTCAAATACATTGAGCATGATTGAGAAACTTAAACTGATTTCCAAGAATTCTGATGCACACCCAACTAATCAATATGGATGAAAAGATCACGTTTATTAAAAATAGCATCGCAAACAATATAATTAATGACACAGAAAGAAACAGTTTTACAAGAACTAATAAAAAAAAAAAGAGGAAAAATCCATTTTTAAGCCCAAAAAAATTCCATCTAATCAGGCTACTCTAATGTCAAGTATCAACAACTAGTCAGTTCAAAGTCAAAACTAGCAACCAAACCCAGAATAAAGCACCAGACTTTTTCCATTGGTGAAGGAAAGTTTAATAAAAACAGTACTTAATGAAGAAAGAGGAAAGAAACCGTACCAGAGGTTCGCCAATCACCAAGTTGCAGACTTTGGGGTTCTGGGTTTTGGGAAGAAGTGAAGAACAGAGCTTCGAGATAGAGTTTGGGGCAGCGATGAATAATAATAATAATAATAGTTATGGAAGCTTAGGTGGTGGCAGTGGCAGCCGAGACAGAAACATTGGGTGAGAATTGCGTTATTGAGCTTGAGAGGGAAGCAAGACCGTCGTTTAGCAACCAAAGATAATTTCGGCTGCTAGGCAAAATACCAGTAAAAAGTTTTTCTTTTTCTCAAAAAAAAAAAAAGTATTAGTAAATTTTATGTAAAAAAGAATATATATATATATATATATATTATTGAAGCAAGATAGATATTTTATTTCACATATTGGTATTTATATATTTCGTATTTAATATATGTAAAAAATTAAAATTCTCGAATTATAATTTTTATCAACACATTAAATATAAAATTTTTTATTTTTATTAAATTCGTATAATTTTTATTAAAAATTTAAATTTTAAATTTTTATATTATATTATCTATTTAAAATAATTAAATGTTAACCAAATATTGAATTGCAATTGCCCTTTAAAATACTCTTTCCAATAAATTTTTTTTTTGTTTTATTACTTTTGATAATAAAAAATCCAACTGTATTTAAGAAACAGATTCTTTTTAAGAAAGTTTAATTTTAAAAATATATAACTTATTTTAATAAAAACATTTAATTTTAATATATTTATTCTTTATCTGTACTTTAGGTAAAGAATGACTCTCATTTTTCTTTATATATTAAAATTTCATGTAATCATTTTTACAATTACAATAACCTAAACTAAACTTGTGTAATGATTGTTAATTTTTTTCAAAAGGATTGGAGTTAGAAGGTTTGAATATTCATTTCTCACTCTTCTTGTGTGTATAAAATTTTTTTTCTTTTAATAATAAATATAGCCTTATTTGAAAGTTTTCAAAATTACAAATTAATATTAAGACTTTAGGCATTGAGTCACTCCTAGGTTATTCCCCCAGGTTTTCTGCCTAGGGTTTCTAGTGGGAGTTTTGTCTTGCTTAGGCAAAATTTTTGTTTTCGTTCTTTTTTCGGTGAGATCAGGCTTGCAGAGTAGTATTTGAATAACGTTCTCTAGAGATAGTTTCTCCTGTAATCATAACAAAGAGCCATGAAGAAATGTGGATTAAGTTGTCACCGACGGAGGAAGAACTACAAGAGGTTAAGGTTGATAAGCAATGGGTGGCACCCACTTTAGAAGTAGGGAAAAACAGTCTGCTGGGAAAAAGCCTTTCCAAAAAAGGGATCAATGTAAAGGCCATAAAGAAAGTTTATGGAAAATATAGAGGATCCCAGAAAGACTAAATGTTCAAGAAGTGGGGAAGAGAATCTTCCTTTCCCAATTCCAAAGTCAAAAGGACGAAGGTAAAGTTTTCAGTAACCAACCATGGTCGTTTAATAGGGCGTTGATTTTATTCAATGATTTTAGTGGCCTGATTACGCTAGAATCCATTTGTATGGATTCATTTTCGACTCTTCACACTGATCCAACCATTGCTTCACTAAATCATCATTTTCTGTCTCTTTTTCCTTATGTCTTCTGCTCACTCACGATTGACTCTTTACTGATGAAAGATGATAGAAAAATTAAAAGTCTTACGCCTTCGCATTTGCAGTAATGAATATACGATGCAAAATTAATGGAGAAGAATGGCAACATCAAAGAAACAGATTCTTTGTAAGTACGGGGTTACTATTGTCAAATTGCTCCCACCAAGCAACTATGAAATCAAATTGTCAAGAACTTGCAAAAAGAGGTTTGCTGAGATGGGATTTGGCCATGTGTGATGGAATCAGTAAATCATCTCTGTTTTAATTGTTTAGAGTTGTGGAAAATCTAGACAAGATGTTGTCCATGGTGCACGTTAAAAGTCACAACCCAACGTAAAAGCACTCCATGTTTTAAATATACTTTATTTTCTAGTACATTGTAACATTTATACATGCACCTTTACATTTATATAGGTATATGTATAACAAAAAAAAAACACATCCTTCATGTATACTAGAATGATGAACCTGCTTCGTTGGGGATTTTTCTTTTATTTAATTTAAATAATTTATTTAAATAAATTTTATTTTGTATGTTTATATAATAATAATATAATAATAATAATGATTCATCTGTTTTAGATTTTTTCTAATTTCTTTGGAGCTTACCTTTTTTTTTTTTTTTTAATAAATCTCTTCATCTTCTAGATTTTTCTTGATTTATTTTTTTTTCTTAACTCACCCCTAACATTCAGTAAAATCTCTCCCTTGTAATGTCAATCAAATAAATGTCTATGCTAAACATGGAAGTCCATTGCCCTTGCAGTCTTTTTGCTTTATCTTGGATGCTTGCTTCTTTTTCTTTTGTTTTCATCCTTACTGGGTATATGGGAGGAGAGATATCACAGGCTTATGGCTTTTTAGTCCTTGGAATTCTTAGTTTTTTTCAAGTATAAACCGATTCATCAATAAATGTTTTAATGGAATGGTGGTGAATTGTTTCATCAACAACGAAACAATTCACAATTTGATTGTAAATCTCAAGTATAATTACAAGGATTTTCAATTTTTCAGATTAACAAGTCTGGCAAGAGTGATTTAGGAACAGAATGTCCAATAGGTATAATGTACCTACTAGAAGCAACCAATCTTGAACCAGAAAGTTCCTCTGGGGGTACGACAACAATGTATTGAAATGCAATCTGAACCATAGGTCGTTCAGAAGAATGTCTACAAAGGAAAAAGAAAGAGACTAAAAAATCTGAATATTATAACAGTAATGCTCCTTAAATGGTTATCAAAAAAAAAAAAAATGCAGCACAAATAGAGAAGACACAAAGGGGGCCTGTTTCAAGCATTTAAGTGGTCCCAACTGGTCCAGGCAAGAAATTAATACAATGAAAAGATGAAAATAAAATATAATCAGAATAACATTGTATAACCTGTAACTATTTACAGATTACAAAGTTGAGCTTCAAATTTCCTCACATGATAAGAAAAGAGATGGTGAAACAGATTCTTAACTAAGCATAATGTATATCTTTTATTGAATCTTGGGAACTCAATGAAAGTAGAATACAAAGCTATAAAACTCTATGCCAGATCCAATCCCTACAATTTAGCGCAAGATAGTATGGAATGTATGTTCCATCAAATTCAGTAATCAACAATACTAGCAAATTTGATTTTGTTCAACCAAAGAAAGAAAACTGTAATGAGTGATTTATACTTGGAAAATCCAACATTATTAGCAAAATCAAAATCATAAACATATGTTGCATAAGAATCACAACAAATAATGTGTTGAACATTTTCATATTGTGGATGTGGGAAGAAGTGACCATACTGCAAAAGAAGGAATAAAAGAAGTACGAAAGCAAGACTATTAGATAACAGTTCACAAGTAAGAAAATTAGAAAGAAAAACAAGGCAAGCACTCACAGAATGGCCAAGCTTGAATTCAGAAGATGTTCTCGGTAAACAATTAAAAGCATATGGTCGACTTAGCATTTGATACCTGCAAAATAACATCAATAAAAGAACTGAAATGGAGAATACCTGTCACTAACTCAAGTAGATATTAAGTATTCAAATAAAAATATGCACTAAATGTCATCTTTAAAAATGAAAAAACTAGAAGAAGTGTATCTAGCTTGAAAGAAATTACAACAAATAATTCTTATAATATACTTTTGTTATGCCATTAACCAATACAATGTCATTTTAATACATTAAAACCCTATGAAAGAATTAAAGGAGTTTACAGTACTTGCATGTCCTGAGGAAGTGTTGAACCATCTGTATTTGAATATAAGAATAGAGAGCCACCACTTGCTAAGCTTAGAAATTTAAGTGAAGCCAAATCTGTATACTCCTTTGTAACAGCAAAAATGTCCACGTATACACCTGCTTAAACAGCCACAGCAACCTACCAAAATGTCGATGCGACAATTCTCAATCCACAAAACAAAGATTAGATAAAACAGAAGTCAATTGATATCCAACAGATCTTTGTAGAATGGTGTCTACTCAGGAAGTAACGCACGGTCTGCATCCTCTCCTTTACTAGCATATTGCTCACCATACCTTCGTGTATCTAGTTGCCCAGGTCCATAATCAGGAGGACCAGAGAGAAAGGCAAAGACTCCAACTGCAGTTATGTTCAGAGAAGACAACAGCATGTAGCGCATTAATCAGAAATATATGATCACAAAAACAAATGAAAGGTAAAGACATATGCAAAATCAGAAGAACCTCTATGGTTTCTCACAAACCTAATGCAAATGTATTTTCATATTCTGACCCAAGGTAATTGAAAAGAGCTTCCATTGCCACACCAAAACCTCGAACACCCATCAACACACCATCTAACCTTTCACCTACCCCTGTAGTTCTCTCCCATGAAGTAGTTGGTCTTAGAGTTTCAAGTGCAGATGTAATACGATCCTTACTAGTTTCAACCTATATGGTTATTGATTTTTAGAAGATCAGTACACAACCAATACAAAATTACATACTTGATTTGATTGATATAAACGAGGATACTCTACAATATCATAAGTGAAAGACTCAATCAACACGGGTTATCGCAGATAAAAACAAATATACATGTTCACACCCCACCCTAGTTCTATTCTTATAAAATAATTATTCCATTCCCTAAATATCCCATTCAGCAAATCAAAACATGCCGTATGCTGTATGGAAGGCAATGGCTAAGGATAAAAATGAAGGAAACAAGAAATTAAGAATGCAGATTGAAGCCAAGAATTGTAACAAAGGAATGGCATATTCAAGCTCAATTGGTAAGGTTCCCTCTGTATCTTGAGGGATAAAAACTGTATCTTGAGGGATAAAAACATTCTTTACAACAGGTACAGGCCCTTCAACATCATATAAACTTAATTTGTGGCTGAAAATGGCAAGGCCAAAAAGTGAACCAGGTGCAAGAGCCGAAATAGAAATGAAAATGAAGGAAACGAATCAACTTTCCAAGGAAAAAAAATAAACAAGAAACAAAATTAATGAATCATTTTATCCAGCCACTGCAGCCTGTAAAATATGTCAAGCTTGAGGAACATAAAAGAAACTATGGGAAAAACTTTTTCCAGCTCCTGAAACATGCATAAGCTTTCTCAGCTAAATCCAACGGCAGCTTTGAAAACAAAATTCGAGACTTAGGACTTTTAGTTTGGATCCCATTAACTGGTTTCTACTGATTATATAAATTATAA